CCGGTTTCCAAGCGAGCGAAGACAGTACATGCCTTAGACCGCTCGGCTACTGTGACCGGCTCGGTTATCAACTTTACTCATATAAAAATTTTGTAACTTCAAAAGCTATGGGTATGTCGACCTTAATCTTAACTTATACGGGGCCGTGCCATAGTTCAGGGGGTTAGTCGCCGGCTTCCCATCTCGGTGGCCCGGGTTCGATCCTCGGCCAGGTCATGTGGGATTTGTGAACAAGATTACAGTGGGGTTGGTTCTCTCCGAGTACTTTGATTTCCCTGATAATTCTCATTCCACCAACTGATATTTATTGCTCATCCTATCATCGACGCTATATAATCTCGATAGTGATACTGTCGTTAAACAGCAAGCTTTAACTTACATGGACAGTAAGCTTCTCACAGACCCCAACTCGCATTCCGATAACATTTTTCTAACTATCTCGATCTATTTTGTACTGTATATAAACACAACAACTGTAACCAATAAAATGGAAGTCATTTATATTTGTATATTGCTAATCCATCTAGGTTAGTACGCCAAACCACATTAAAAACAGTTCAACTTTCACCTTCCCGCAACTGGCAAAAGTGTTACCAACCAATGCGCCGGGGGGTGACCAATGCTGTGCTACCAACGGTTACAAATACTATTCGTTGTTAGGTTGTTACGGTTGTTAGCGTTGTTAGTAACCTCTTTGTAACGAAGAGAGGAAGAGCGGGAAGAGCGAGAAGAGGGCCGGACAGGTGTGAACGGGCGTGAAGCTGAAGTTGTAATTGGGTAGTAGTTGCTGGTGGAATTGAAATACGTTGTATGGAACTAGAAGTATTTGATATTAAACAATATGTCATATTCTTCTGATGATGTTGGTTCTGGATCAACGAAGGATGGGGATCACGATCTTCAGGAGTTCTTATTGATGGAAAAGCAGAAAGCACAGCTTAATGCACAGGTATGATTAACCATGTGAAATATAGATGATAATTGAACATTTTTGTTGAACCTGTCCATATTCTAATCGTCACCAACGAAACTGCCCTGTGATATGATCAGAATATTTAGCTCTGGGCAAAGTGTTGATGGATAGATTAATGGTAAGTCGATCACAGTGGCCGCACGGTCTGAGGTATGAATTGTTATCGCTCCCTCGAAAACTGGGATTGTGGCTTCGAATCCCACACTAGACACGGATATCTGTGTTGCGTTTATTCTATGGTTATGTTATGTTCTTTGTGTAGGCAGTGGCCTTGCGACGGTATGATCCCCCGTCCAAGGAGTCCTACCAACTGTGTAATGATTGAGAAATTGAAAAAGTGGCCAAGGTCCTCAAGGGCAGTAGAGCCATAGATAGATAGATAGATAGACAGACTAGCGGTAGTGCTGTAATTGATTGTGAATAAGAGAGATCTTAAACAAGTTGATAAATCCAATCATCCGGTCCAGAACCCATTATTATTAGTCACGGAACCCCGGACATGCGACAGTATTTCAATCTGACTAAGGTCCAATCTCAGGAAACTGAATGAGGTAGAAGGAAAAGAACGGTGAGGTTAAAATTTCAAACAGGCTTGCAGCTTTGGAAAACTTGGATGATAATGTGGATATTAATACAGCCTGGGAAACTTTTAGAGAGAACATCATGATATCAGCCAGAGAATACAGGTTATTACAAACTGAAGTGGTATGAGCCGTGGTTGAATGTAGATGTTGAAGTATATTAGATTGAAGAAACAAGCCAGACTGCAGTGGTTACAGGATGCAAGGTGTGAAGCTACCAGATATATCAGGAACACACAGGAGGAATGCCTGAAAGAGAGAATTAATGAGCTTGCAACGTACAGTAGGAAGGACATTAGAGGTTTATACAGGAAAATAAATTAATTTAAGAAGGGTTACCAACCTGGAAGTAACTTTGTAAATGATAAGGATGGTGATCTGCTTGCAGATTTAAACGACATTTTGAATAGGTGTTAAAATTCGCTCATTTACTGAATGAATGTGGACAGGATTGGTAATGTTGGGCATACTAGCTGAGCCATTAGTACTTCAGCCTAGTCCTTTTGAAGGGGACATCACTGTTACATGGTTGAAAATGTCTAAATTGCCAGGTATGGCTCAAATTCCAGAAGAACCGATGCAAGCAGGAGGTGAAATGTTGTGTTCTGAAATCCATAAGCTCATTAATTCTATTGGAAATAAGGAAGAATTGTTTGAGCAGTGGAAGGAGTCTTTTATAGCAATTTACAATATGGGTGATAAAACTGACTGGTAATTATTGAGGCATATTACTGTTATCAGCTTCATACAAAATGTTATCCAGTATCCATCTCCCAAGTTAAAGCCCATACATAAACAGAATTATTGGGGATCATCAGTGTGGGTTTCAATGTAACAGATCAGCTACTAATCAGATTTTTTGTATTCGTCAGGTACTGTTGAAAGACATTAGTACAATGAGACAGTACATCATCTATTCCTGGGTTTAAAGAAAGACTATGGCTTAGGAGGGAAATGTTGTACAATGTTTTTATTGAGTTTAAGGTACCTATAAAAGTAGTTGTCCTTATTAAAATGTGTTTAAATGAAGCCTATAGTAAAGTTCATATAGGTAAGTGTTTGTCTGATATATTTCTTATTACAAATGGTAAAAAAGCAAGGAGATGCTTTGTGGGAGCCTACCTCAGTGCATCTCCAAGGCAACTACAAACTTCTGGTCGACCAGCAGAGTGAAACAAGCGCTAGCCATTCAGCACAGGCCTCAGCAGCACCAACACACATTGGGCCTGTCACTGCTAGCAACAGTGGATAAAGATGCGGACCACATCACACTAATCAGTTATCCTCTCATCAGAGAGGGCACCCCACATTGACAAGACAGTCAACTCTCGAAGGGAAACTAATATCCGGTCTCAACACCAGGACAGCATCTGGAGTGCACACAGCAATAGCAGCCGTCCAAACAGTAATGCACCAACTGACTTTGAAAGTAGTTGCCTTGACCCTTGAGAAGCCCTCTGTCAGCGCTTGCCACTCTGTGGCTGGCTAGCACTCACCTGGCTACCGAACAACGAAGGACCACTGTCGCTCACACAAACCAGCAGGATGTAGCTGGATCTTCACCAGCATTCATCAGGGATTTGCTTGGTTGTCTATCTAAACACTGGAACCAACATTCCACAGCTTTATTGCCATTGCTTTTTAACTTTACTTTAGAGTATGCCATTAGGAAGGTATGAGAAAACCAGGTGGGATGGAATTAAATGGATCATGTCAGCTGCTGGTCTGTGATGATGATGTTATCTACTGGGAGGTGATATAAATACCATAAAGAGAAACACAGACACTGTAGTTGACATTAGTAAGGAGGTTGGTTTAGAAGTAAACACATAGAAAAGTAAGTATATGTTGATGTCTCATCACCAGGGCCCGGATTTTGATGACCTGAAAATATTTAAGAAATGATCGGAAAAATCCAGAAAAATGACCTAAAATATGACCCAGAAATGTAATATGCAGGGCCTGGATTTTGGTGACCTGAAAATATTAAAAAAATCCAGAAAAATGACCTAAAGTAGAAAAGAAAGAACACTCCGCTTCCATGTTATTCACATTTCAGAAAACATATGATGAAAAATTCCCTAAAATGGCCAAAAATGACAAGAAATACCCTTAAAAGTCCAATAAATTACCCAAAAAAAATGAAAAAATAACCTTAAACCTAAAAATGTCAAAAAATGACAAAAATTACCTATAAAATTTACATTTCTGTAACCAGCAGCTCATATCCGAGATTTATGTATTTAAGAGCATCGCATAGGATACGAGGAAAAAAAGATGACATATCATCAAAATCCGGGCCCTGCTCGTCACCATAATGCAAGTCAGAGTCATACTGTAAAGACAGCTTATACAAACCTAAAAATGTGGCAAAGATAAAATATTTTGGAATGACAGTAACAAATCAAAATTTGATCAATGGGGAAATTAAGAGCAATTAAATTCAGGTAATGCTTGTTACCATTCAGTTCAAATAGTTTTGTCTTGTCTACTGTTTGCAAACATAAAAACTAAATTATACAAAACTGTAATTTTACCTATAGATTTGTATGGATGTGAAACTTGGTCACCTGCATTGAGGAAAGAACATAGTTTCAGGGTGTTTGGGAAGAGGGTGCTGAGGAGATTATTTGAACCCAAGGGGCATCAAATTGTATTGTATTGCATGGTATGAGGATAAGGAAAACTACATGGTGAGGAGCTTTATAACTTGTACTCTTTGCCAAATATAATTAAAATGATCAACTCAATTATAAGATTGGCAGGGCATGTAACACATATGAGAGCAAAGAGAAGTGTGTGCAGGGTTTAGATGGGAAAGCCTGTGGGAAAGAGACCACTAGCAATACCGAGATGTAGGTAGGAGGATATTATTAAAATGGTTGGTATGGACTGCTTTCATCTGGATTGGGGTAGGGAACAGTGTTGGGCTCTTCTGAACGTGATAATGATCTTTCATGTTCCGTGAAGTGCTATGGAAATGCTGAGTGAGTGTTCGCTTCTGTAGGACTTGGCTCCAAGGGGCTAGTTAATTCTGTTTGTTACCCTCTAAGGAGCACTTGTGTGGGAAACTGCCCAGAAACTTGTGAGATTTTAGGTTTTCACAGCAGTGAATATTAAGGTCACTGTCTCTTTGGATGTGATGCCATGTAGTTCGGTAGGCAGGAACCAAACTACATTGCACAGCATTACAGAAGATACTAATCCTCATCCTGGGGCCACGCCATAGCTCAAGCGGTTAGTCACGCTTCCCACCGCGGCAGCCCGGGTTAGATCCCGGGTCTGGTTAAGTGGGATTTGTGGTGGACAAAGTGGCGCTGGGGCAGGTTTTCTCCGAGTACTTTGGTTTCCCCTGCCAATCTTCATTCCACCAGTTGCTCCAAAATCACCCTCATCTATCACCTCGGGCTGGTACAATAGGCCAGAAGTGGCCGCAGTACAAGGGACTTAGTCCCACCCCACTAGCAGTAAAAAAGATCCTCATCGTGAAACTTGGTGGTGGGTCACATATATGGTAATCTTAATAGCATCGAGAACTGGGTCAAGTGTATATTTCGAAGCTGATCCAACCTAAACATGAGCAGGTACCAAGAAGCACTGCGAGAAGTCACCCTGCAGTTTGTTAGTGGGGTACATGTGCTTTAATTTGAACCGCATTGAATTGAACAAATCAGATGAATCACATCTAAATTAAACTTAAACCAACATAACCTAGAATTGCATAAATAGATTTTATGTTTAGGACTGAAACATTACATTGGAATCTTCTCCTCATACTGGAATCATACTCATCCATTTTTTTTTTTCACAACACTGACAGTAATATGGCTGAGTGAATGACTCTGTATACTCTAGTTTAAATACAGTCACAACAGCAACATGATGTTTGGGATTTATTTCCATACTTTTATTGTTGTGATCATTGTGTTTTATTTCATTAATAAGAAGTGATGTGCATACACTTAAGAAATTGCAACTGTAGGCACGTCCATCACTATGTCATTCATTTAAGGAGAAGTTATTTATAACACAAATATATGCCAAAGAAAAAGTCTTTATGAAATAAACAGTAGTTTGCAGTGATTATGATATTTAAGGAAGAGTGGTCAATAGAAGAACAAATGGTTTCTTGTGAATAAATATGAACTTTCTGTTTTCATGTATAAGTTGAAATTGAACTGCAATTTTCCTCATAAAATGGCACGGTGTATAAAAATTTGCTTCTGACTAAGTGTAGATGTAATGAAGGTCTGCAGCATATATTTGGAACATTTTTTAATATAGTGTATATTAAATGAAACAGAAGAGAAAATTGTTTATAAATCTAATTATGTTTATTTTCCCATATATCAAATAGGTTTTTAGTTCCAGTTTGGTCAATAGGCTTCTGAGCTT